CAACATAAAAGTAAAAAAACAGCCGAGCACCAGTGGCTCACACCTGTAATCCTACCTACTCAAGAGGCAGAGGTCAGGAGGATCATGGATCTAAGGCATCCCCAGGCAAATAAATTGGAGAGTCTCTATCTCGAAAAACCTATCACAAAATAGAGCTGGTGAGTGGCTCAAGCAGTAAGCACACCTGCCTAGAGATCCTGAGGCCCTGAGTTCAAACCCCAGTACTACCAAAAAAAAAAACAACACACACAAAAGTAAAAAAAGAGAAGAGGATGCAGCTCAGTGGTAGAGCACTTGCCTAGCATGCACAAGGCCCCTAGTTTGATCCTCCAGTACTACCAACAAAACAACTTAAAGGTAAGGCAAAGTAGCCTATCATTGACTCCCTTCCCTACCCCACAAGTAAGAGAACATCTCTCCACACCTTTATGGGCCAAATACAGTTCTTTTGTACATTGTTAATTCTCATATGACTATTTATTTTAAATGAGATTGTCTCTCTCTCTCTCTCTCTCTTTTTGGTAGTACTGGGGATTGAACTCAGGGCTTTGCACTTGCTAGGCAGGCACAATACTGCTTGAGCCCCACCTCCATCCCTTTTTGCTCTGGCTATTTTGGAGATAGGGTCTCACTTTTTGTCAGGGCGGCCTAGATCATGATCCTACTATTTATGCTTCCCATTGTAGTTGGGATGACTGGCATGTATCAGATACTTACTATTTGTAATACAGAAATTGGAATAATTTATTTAAACCTACCCATTTTTTTTAACCTTGTTATACACTGAATGGCCATCTCTTCAAATCATTTTAAATGATTTTTAAAATTTCTCCCAAAATTTCCAATACCCTTAAAGGCTATTTTCTTTTAATTTCTGATCCATCTAGAATTAATTTTGGTAAAGAGTGTGAAGATAAGATTTAGCTAAATAGTTTTTCAAATGGTCACCCAAAAATCACTATTTAACCATTTATAATTTTATTATTATATTTGGATCTTTTTCACTTCTAATTTTCAATTAACTTTTCCTAATTCTATGCCCATAAAATTTAAATTTGCTATGGAAAATACAGTCATGATACTATTCTTCAAAAAATTTCTGACCATTATATCACAATCATTCTAAGACTTCGACTTTAGAATCATCATACCAAAAAAAAAATCTGACCAAGACTACATTATATTTAAAGGTCAAGAGAAGGAGAAATGGCATCTTACAATGCTAAAACTAAACTCCATTTATTAAAACCCCTATGTTCCACCACAATTTTCTTTCTATAGGTCCTGTTCATTTCATTTTTTCTTGAATATTTGATATTTTCTGTTGCTATTGTAAATTATACTTTTCTATTATTCATTTTAAAGAAAGTTTATTGTTGCATTTTGTAACCAATCACCTTATAAAACTTTTTTCCTAATAATTCTACCTCTACATACTGATAATTTTATCATTCTTATTGGCATAGTCAGGAAATGCTTAAAAGGCACCCTAAATTTTTTAATATTTAACATTCAATATCTCTTGCTGACATTTTGACATGGTTTTCATTTTAGGAAAGCATCTGATCCTCATGTCAGTAAGGGCCTTGGTCAAGATACTGAGGGTTGGAATGCAGCTCAGCAGCTTTCACCTGGGTTAAATCCCCAACACCAAAACAAAACAAAAAAACAAAAACTAAACTGGCTCTGCCACTGAACTACATTCCCAACTCTATTAGTTTTTGGTTTCTTTTTCAATGTCTCTACTGTTCTTAATACTACCCATTTCTACAAAATCTACTTTATCATGTTTTATGCTTTTAATAATGCCATTCAGTAATGCTTCAATATTAAAAAATGAAACTGCTTTTAAGTGCTACCTTTGCTAGATTTTTCTATCAGCATCATCATGGCTTCATAAAGAGAACTGGAAAGTCTTCCTTCTTCCTGTATGTATGAGCTGGAGTAATTTCAATAGCAGATGCTCTTGAATGTTGAATTCAGTCATTAAATACTGTTTTGTTCTATTTTGTTTTCTTCTAAGGAATAGCTCTCTGGTCATTTTCTTAATTTGTTTGGCTTTTAAATTTATCACTGTAGCCTCTAATCCTACCTACTTGGGAGGCTGAGATCAGGAAGATCATGGTTGAAGGCCAGCCCGGGCCAACAGATGGTGAGACTCCATCTCCAAAATAATCAGAGCAAAATGGTAGAACACTTGCTTTGGAAGAAACCCTGAGTTCAAACCCCAGTGCCAAAAAAACAAAAACAAACAAATAAATTTGTCACTGCAGCGATAACCCAAAACTACTTCTGGATTTATGTATATTTTCATTTATAATTTTGTATTGTCCTTTTCCCCCTTGATTTCCAGTAATTTAATCTTCTGTTTCAGTTTTCTCTTCCAAAGAATCAGCTCTTACAATATTTTTCCTTTTTACTTTTCATTTTACACATTCTACATATATTTCATGTGGATTTAATCTTTATACATTACTTATTTATTTATTTATTGCAGTGCTGGGAATTAAACCCAGGGTCTTCACATACTGGGCAAACTCTCTACCACTGAGGTACATGCCAGCCTAATATTTTCCTTTTAATACATTAATATGTTACCTTTTAATGAAGGATACATGAAGCCTGTCTTTCTGCATCCTTAGGCTTACTTCAGTTTCCTTTACAATATTCTTAAATAGTTTATTGTTACTTTTTCTCAGTTATGCAGGACTAAGAAATGGTTTTCTTAAACCATTTCTAAGAAATGGTTTTTTTTGGCAGTGTTGGCAAATAAAACCCAGGGCCTCACACATGTCATATGTTCTACACTTCAGCTGTGCCTCCAGGCCAGAAATGTTGATTTTTTCCTACTAAGTTGGGACTATATTCCATATATATTAATTTCATGTTATTTTCTAGATATTATGTAATTGTTTCTTCAGTTTCCTCTTTACAATAAGGAATCTACAATTGGCTTTGTAATTTTTACTTGTTACCTGTTCATTAATTTATCCAATAAACTAGCAAACAGCTATTGTCCTTCTAGTTTTACTGCCGTTGGATCAGGGAATGTGTTTTGTTCAACTTTCTGAAATATGTGTGATTCACTCACTAATTTCATCTTCACAGTCATTTTATGTTTTTGTTTTTGGTGAGACTGGAGTTTGAACTGAGGACTTCAAGATTGCAAAGCAGGCACCCTACCACTTAGGCCACACCTCTAGCCCCTCATTTTATGTTTTTTAAGAAAGTAAATTTTACAACTATTTAAAGTTTCTTCACAGTACTTTGTATGGAAGACAAACCAAGACTTATAAGTACTGCATTTCATCAAATTTAAGATTATATGTAGGATTCACCATTATTTCCATGTGTGGGTTCGGGGAAAAAAAAAATCACTGTATTGATTTCTGAGATGCTAAAGAGAATGGTGCATCTTAGCGGAATGGAACACAACATATTTCATGTCAATTTCGTCTTTCCCAAAACTCACCTAAAAATGGCCTTTCATAATCTTTTTGCCCCTTTGTTTTGAAAGAATTGTCTTGCTTTTTCACCCTTACTACCTTTTGTAAATTGAAGAGCTCCACGACTGTCAAAGGATTTGAGTTGGTCAACTGGCCTCCTTCTCCAGGACCATTTGAATTGGGAGGCAAGGAGTTTCTTTAAAGCACATTTAACTTCGAAACTTTGTTTTTGAAAAGTGAAAATACATTTTTATATTGCAAAAAGTAAATGAAAATGCTTATCAAAAGGAAGGCAGAATTTTTTTAAGTTGTAAAACTTCTCACAACCAACAGCTGTCAATTCTCTTAGCTTCTTTCAAAGTTTATCAAATATTTCTTCTCTATCACTTAAGCTATTTCAATGTTATTCAAGCCAATATTTCAGTGAGTGAAAGTAATGCAAAATAAAAACAATATAATCAATACTGAAGCTTCTATAGCACTTCCCAGGATCCGCTTCATAGCAGGAAAAAATATGCCTTTCAGAACATAGATTTCCAAGTCCACTTTCTTTTTTTCTCATGCAATGGGCTAAAAAACAAATGAAAAATAGGAACAAATCCTATTCTCAGAATAAAACTTTAAATTGCAATTAATCCTCTAAATTACCTACACTAAGACATCTTCTATCAAGTTCTCTTCATCTTTCAACTGTACAGAGGAAAGCCTAGTCAATGTTTAATTAGCCCCATCATGCAACTTCCTGCCTGCTTTAACAAATGTATTTAGAGATAAATGTCTTAATATTCCAGCTCTCCCATGGTCACTGACAGAAACAAAAACTTATTCATGAAAAAAGGTTAAAGGAACAAACAAAATATGAAAAATGCACTTTTGGCGGGGGCGGTACTGGTATTTGAACTCAGGGCCTCACTCTTGCTAGGCTGGTACTCTACCACTTGAGCCACACTCCACCAACCCCTGGAAAATTTTCACTCTTAAAACAAAATATCAGGCACAGGCTAATGAAATGGATAAATCTGGAGAGCACGTGACCTGTTTTATCAACATAAAACTCTACCTGGGCATAAGGCAGGGACAACAAATTGGTTAGCAGGTAAAAACAAACCCGGTTCTCTCTCTCCTCGGAATATTAAACCTATTTAACATAGGAGATGAATGACAAAAGATCAGGATGCCGCTTCTCTGATCAAATACCAGGCAACAGCAGCCTCAAGTGTTCTAAAGAGACATCGTCGCAGCCCTAAATTTAGTCGCGCTTCCCATACCTGTGTCTACCTCATCCTCCCGTCCGGCCTAGCTAACCCAAGAAGCCGGGATTAAACTCCTAAAATCTTGCTTCACAGAGACCAAGCCCTTTCCCTATCCTTCCTCCAGAAACCCCACAAAGGAGGAGACTCCAGTCGCATTTGGTTTCTGGTTCTGCGGCCTCCCGGGAGAGCCCCCTCCCGCGCTTGGAACAGGGGCTGGGATCCCGGCTCAGAAGAATCGCAGGCCCCGGCCGCATAGCCCCCCCCAAAACCGCCCCGAGCGAGAAAGTGGAAAGTCACTTACTAATGGGAGCTCTGCCAGAAGTTCCCTGCCATGGAACACAGCTCGCCCCGATAAAAAAGCACCAGCCGGCGGAGCGGCCCGCGGAGCGACCATAGACCCAGCCCGTCGTGTACCCGCGATCCCGGATCAGATCTGCTAGACTCTGCTCCGCAACGGCGACCGAAAGAGGAAGAGGACGGCACCCCATTCCCTTTGACGCCGGCCGGAAACACTCAACTGTGTAAACCCGTTCCTACGAACAAAAGTTCCGGCCCGCCTTTCAGCAGCTAGGGAAGCAATGGAGGAGAAGACTGCCAGTAGGTGTGCTTAACTAGGAAACCGGAACTGCTGTTCGCGAGGGCTCGCGGCGATGCGAAGACTCTCGCGATATTTCACCCTGATTCCGTTTTAGAGCTGAAGCAGCTATTCTGTACCCATCGCTGATTCGCTAATTGGAGATGACCTGGAAGAAAGCCTCCCAGTTTAGGATCTTGTCATTCCATCGTCTAGGCTTCCAGAAACAGTATTCTGGATTGTAAAAAAGCACAGATTTTGTAACTTTATTTCTTTTTCCTGCGATTAAAAGAGAAATCAATGAAGATTTTGGCCTCACAGATCAAGCGTCCTCCAAATCAAGATGATTTTGGAGTTCCTACTGGCACCAAGCCAAAGGCTTTCTTAATGGAGTTTAGAGTGGCAAACCCAGACTGTTAGAGCCGCAGGGTTTTGGTGCCACAGAACCATCAGTTTTGTATTTATTCTATGTGCTTCTGTTAACACTTTATTTCTATTATTGCCCTAACACTTAATTCTATCTTATGCCTAAGTCTACACTCTTCTTTTTTTTTTTTCATTTTTCTTTTATTATTCATATGTGCATACAAGGCTTGGTTCATTTCTCCCCCTGCCCCACCCCCTCCCTTACCACCCACTCCACCCCCTCCCGCTCCCCCCCTCAATACCCAGCAGAAACTATTTTGCCCTTATCTCTAATTTTGTTGTAGAGAGAGTATAAGCAATAATAGGAAGGAACAAGGGGTTTTGCTGGTTGAGATAAGGATAGCTATACAGGGCATTGACTCACATTGATTTCCTGTGCGTGGGTGTTACCTTCTAGGTTAATTCTTTTTGATCTAACCTTTTCTCTAGTTCCTGGTCCCCTTTTCCTATTGGCCTCAGTTGCTTTAAGGTATCTGCTTTAGTTTCTCTGCATTAAGGGCAAAAATGCTAGCTAGTTTTTTAGGTGTCTTACCTATCCTCACCCCTCCCTTGTGTGCTCGCTTTTATCATGTGCTCATAGTCCAATCCCCTTGTTGTGTTTGCCCTTGATCTAATGTCCACATATGAGGGAGAACATACGATTTTTGGTCTTTTGGGCCAGGCTAACCTCACTCAGAATGATGTTCTCCAATTCCATCCATTTACCAGCGAATGATAACATTTCGTTCTTCTTCATGGCTGCATAAAATTCCATTGTGTATAGATACCACATTTTCTTAATCCATTCGTCAGTGCTGGGGCATCTTGGCTGTTTCCATAACTTGGCTATTGTGAATAGTGCCGCAATAAACATGGATGTGCAGGTGCCTCTGGAGTAACAGTCTTTTGGGTATATCCCCAAGAGTGGTATTGCTGGATCAAATGGTAGATTGATGTCCAGCTTTTTAAGTAGCCTCCAAATTTTTTTCCAGAGTGGTTGTACTAGTCTACATTCCCACCAACAGTGTAAGAGGGTTCCTTTTTCCCCGCATCCTCGCCAACACCTGTTGTTGGTGGTGTTGCTGATGATGGCTATTCTAACAGGGGTGAGGTGGAATCTTAGTGTGGTTTTAATTTGCATTTCCTTTATTGCTAGAGATGGTGAGCATTTTTTCATGTGTTTTTGGCCATTTGAATTTCTTCTTTTGAGAAAGTTCTGTTTAGTTCACATGCCCATTTCTTTATTGGTTCATTAGTTTTGGGAGAATTTAGTTTTTTAAGTTCCCTGTATATTCTGGTTATCAGTCCTTTGTCTGATGTATAGTTGGCAAATATTTTCTCCCACTCTGTGGGTGTTCTCTTCAGTTTAGAGACCATTTCTTTTGATGAACAGAAGCTTTTTAGTTTTATGAGGTCCCATTTATCTATGCTATCTCTTAGTTGCTGTGCTGCTGGGGTTTCATTGAGAAAGTTCTTACCTATACCTACTAACTCCAGAGTATTTCCTACTCTTTCTTGTATCAACTTAAGAGTTTGGGGTCTGATATTAAGATCCTTGATCCATTTTGAGTTAATCTTGGTATAGGGTGATATACATGGATCTAGTTTCAGTTTTTTGCAGACTGCTAACCAGTTTTCCCACCAGTTTTTGTTGAAGAGGCTGCTATTTCTCCATCATATATTTTTAGCTCCTTTGTCAAAGATAAGTTGCTTATAGTTGTGTGGCTTCATATCTGGATCCTCTATTCTGTTCCACTGGTCTTCATGTCTGTTTTTGTGCCAGTACCATGCTGTTTTTATTGTTATTGCTTTGTAATATAGTTTGAAGTCAGGTATTGTGATACCTCCTGCATTGTTCTTTTGACTGAGTATTGCCTTGGCTATTCGTGGCCTCTTGTGTTTCCATATAAATTTAACAGATTTTTTCAATCTCTTTAATGAATGTCATTGGAATTTTGATGGGAATTGCATTAATGGAGATCACAAATTCTAAGTGGGTCTTACTGGGCCATAATCATGGTGTCAGTAAAGCATTCCTTTCACAGGATTTCAGGGAAGAATCTGTTTTCTTACCTTTTCCAGGTTCTAGAGGTTCCCACATCCATGGCTCATATGATCCTTTCATCTTCAAAGCCAGCAATTGCCAGTTGTGTCTTTCTCATATTGCATTACTGACATTGTTCTCTCTCTCTCTCTCTCTCTCTCTCTCTCTCTCTCTCTCTCTCTCTCCCACATTTAAAATACCTTTATGATTATTACATTGGGCCCACCTGAGTAATCCAGGATAATCTTATTTTAAAGATCAACAACCTTAATTCCTTCTTTCTGTGTAAATATAAATATTTATAAACTCTGAAGATTAGGATGTGGGCACCTTTGAGGACCATTATTTTGATCACTGCAGTGTCCAGATTGTTCAATAGCTCTGCCACAGACTTTAAGTATCTATGCTGTCCGGCACATATGTTCTTATGATGGAAGTAGATATATTGTATTAATTCCAAATTCCATTGATCCAATTTTATATTACCTATATTAGCTCCTCATTTTGTGTATTTTTGTCTACTTAAGACTCTGCTCATTGTAACTGTAGTTCATATGTTCTTCAGCTATTCTCTACATCATGACCTTCCAATTGCACTTCCATTCTACCTCATTTTCTCCTTATTTCTTTTGTTTGCCTGTTTGATAGGCAGATGATAGATGATAGATGGACGGATAGATGCCTCAAAACACACACACAAAAATGCCTCTGGCATCCCATCATATAGGACCACTGTGATGAGAATGGTTATGCTTGGCCTTGAATGATCAGTGATCTTTAGTCTGGACTGTACTTCAGAGTTGTTTGGGTGCTTCTAAAACATTTTATTTCTTAGATTCTATCCCCAGACCAAATGCCTTCTGTACAAGAGATATACATACAAACACACATACACATTTATATGCCTTTGTCTTTATGGCATTTAAGCTAGGATAAATATGTGAAGGACATGTGTTAAGACATTAAATGGGATAATGGGATTAATGGGGCAAGGAGAACAAGACCATTGCTGTGGTGTGTTGTCTTGACAAAAATTTTTGTAGGATTCCTTTCCATATAAGTATTTTGATTTAAAAATGTACTCCATGGGAAATTATAACACTAAAGACAAAAAAGACTGTATATAAATGCTGTACTCTAGAAGTTTCTCACAGGAGTATGGATCAATAATTCTTAACCTGCTTTGTATGTATTCAGAGTTTGAACAAATAATAGTAGATATGGAAACCAGATTTCCTACTATCACAAAAAGAAGTTACAAATAACAAGGTACAAAGGCTAGAATAAACTCTATTAGAGTCAGAGAATTTACAATAATAAACTTATTTTTACTTGACATATACTTATTTTTGGCTACTAAAACAAAATTCCTTAAAATTGGTACTTTATAAACAACAGAAATCTATTGTTTACAGATCTGGAAGGCTGGGAAGTTCACCATCAAGGTGGCAGCAGTTTCAGTGTGTAGTGAAAACTCACTGTCTGCTAGTCATGTCCTCACATGGTAGAAGAGGTGAACAGGATCTCTGAGTCTTATTTTGTAATGTGAATTTTAGAGAGACACAAACATTTGGACCATAGACTAGGCACAGGTATAGAAATAATTTTAGGTATTTTCATAAACATGCGCTAGTGTACACATGATATATTTTTAAATTCTATCTACTGAGAGGGTTTAGAAATCGTGACACCCCACCAGCAATAAGCACACTTACATCTAAATCTTGGTTTCTAAATAATATTCATCAATAAAAAATGAAACAGGGATTTTTGAAGAAATGTTTAATTCCAGGGCTGGGCAGAGAAAAATGCAAGATGAGTTTGGTACATCTAATGCTATCCACAGACAAGGAAGGAAGTGCTCAAAAAAAAAAAAAAAGAATGGGACTATATGTCAAAAGAACACTGGAATCATTCCAGAACAGATCCAATGGCCTGAAACTGGGACAGTTTGAGCAATAAAAACTGCATTAGTCAGGATTCTCGAGAAACAGAACCAACAGGACATACTGGATTATGGGGGCTGAAAAGTCTCACAATCTACTCTCTGTAACTCAAAGACTCAGGAAAGCCAGTGGAGGTTGTTTTAGTCCAAGCCTGAAGTCCTGAGAACCTGAGAACCACAAGCACAGATCAGGAGAAGATAGGTGTTCTAGCTCCACAGGAAAGAGTGAGTTTACCCTTCCTTTGTTTTTTTTTGTTCTGTTTAAGCTCCCAACAGATTGGAGGATGCCCAACCACATTGGTAAGGGTGATTTTCTTTACTCAGTCTAATGGTTGAGATGATAATCTCTTCCAGAAGCATCCTCACAGATGCATCAGAAATAATGTTTTACCAGCTGTCTGGGCATCCATTAACACTGTCAAGTTTACTCATAAAATTAATCATCATAATACAACTATTATGCAACATTATAATCCAAATAATTAAATACATCTGAATTCACACACACACACACACACACACACACACACATTTTCCGTAAATAAATAAATAATTGGGTAAAAAAAGA